CAAAAATCCGGTGAGAATTGGTTTGATGCGACTAGGGGTGGAGGAGAAAGCAAGGATGAAGAAGGTTGTTGGTGTGGAACTGATAAACGAGAATGGAAGATGCCGAAATACAAGGGACTATGACGGGCGTAAATGAAGTGGGGGGTTTAATCTGGGCCATCGATTTTAAATTTTAAAATCTAAGGGAGGAGGAAGATAGTTTGCACATTAAAGGTGTTTCTATGTTAAGATGAGTTTCCATGTGAACCTCCCCCTACATATATATATAGAATTTGGATCAAATAAAAAGTACTTCCTAGATGAAAAATAAGAACTAATCTTGGTCATTGATGTGATAAAATGGGTGGAAGAGATCAATTTTTAAGTTGGAAACGCGGTGGCATTTTTGTACGTAATTAAGGAGAACTTTTTTTGAAAATATTGTGATAAATGTGCATCAGAATAGTCAACAAGTGCACACGTAGAGCACAAAAGTGCATTACTGTACAAAATAAAAAGTGTACAAGATGGAAAATTTTGACAATCTTTTTTTATTCGCATGAGTATACTTTTAATCAGTAACTATCCATTTTATAGTATAAACGTTTGCACATTTTTTGAAATCATCTCTTGTGTTTAAAGTTCATCTAATCCATCCATTTTCAAGTGATGGAAGGCCAAGATTTGTTCTCACTTTTCATGGGAAGATTACTTTCTACTTGAACCTATCCCTATATATATATATATAGAGAGAGAGAGAGAGAGAGTCCTGATCCTGTCAGGCCGAGGCCATTTGGGAACCTTCTTGGTGAAATTTTTTGATGAAATTTTTTGAGCATGTTCCTCATCAAGTCTAGTTTGTAATTCAATCAGGAATGAAGTCAAAAAAATTCCTACTAAAACTGCGCAGTTTATATATATACGAAGTATATAATGCACAGTTTTAGTAGGGAATGTTTTTGAATGCCTTCCCGATTGAATTTTTAGTTGAAATTTGGTATGAACAAACTAGACTCGATGAGGAACATGCTCAAAACATTTCATCAAAAAATTCCACCGGGAAGGTCCCCAAATGGCCTTGGTCTGACGGCGGTTTCCGTCAGGCCAGCCTGATACGATCAGTCCTCTCTCTCTCTCTCTCTCTCTCTCTCTCTCTCTCTATATATATATATATATATATATATATATATATACACACACACACACACACACACACACACACACACACAAGAATGATCACGTCCGAACGTTCGGATAGGACCCTCCGTCCGAACATCCTCGTTTGGGGTCCTTCCCGGTGGAATTTTTTGATGAAATTTTTTGAACATGTTCCTCATCAAGTCTAGTTTATCCATACCAAATTTCAGCTTAAAATTCGATCGGGAAGACATTCAAATCATTTTTTAAGTTGACTACGTTTTTATATGTATATTTTGACGCAATCAACTTCAAAAAACGATTTGAATGCCTTCCCGATCGAATTTTGAACTGAAATTTGGTATAGACAAACTAGACTTGATGAGGAACATGCTCAAAAAATTTCATCAAAAAATTCCACCTGAAAGTTTCCCAAACGGCCATGTTCGGACGATGCTCGGACGGGGAATGTTCGAACCTGAACATTCCTCTCTCTCTCTCTCTCTCTCTCTCTCTATATATATATATATATATATATATATATATATATATATGGGAAAAACTTCTGGTAAGGTATACCTTACCGGAGCCGCCGTGCGGCCTCCACGTTTTGAGGGTCTTCCCGGTGGAATTTTTCGATGAAAATATTTGAGCATGTTCTTCATCAATTCTAGTACATTCATACCCAATTTCAGCAAAACATTCAATCGGGAAGGCAGTCAAACGATTTTTGGAAGATAACTGCGTTTTATATGTATATAAATGGTGCAGTTATCTTCCAAAAATCATTTGACTGCCTTTCCGATTGATTTTTTTGCTGAAATTTGGTATGGATGTACTAGACTTGATGAAGAACATGCTCAAAAAATTTCATCGAAAAACTCCACTGGGAAGACTCTCAAAACGTGGAGGCCGCACGGCGACTCCGGTAAGGTATACCTTACCGGAAGAGTTCCCATATATATATATATATAGACTTTGTATCAAATAAAAAGTGGTTCCTAGATGAAAAATAAGAATTCATCTTGGCCATTGATGTGAAAAAATGGATGGAAGGGGTCAAATTTTAAGTTGGAAACGCGGTGGCATTTTGGTAATTATGATGAACTTTTAATGAAATTATTGTAACAAATGTGTATGAGGAAATGCAAAAAGTGCACATGTAGAGCCCAAAAGTGCGTTACAGTACATAATAAAATGTGCACAAACAAAAAAATAACAATTTTTTTAACACTTATGAGTACACTTTTGTTCATTATCTATTCACTTTATACTATGAACATTTGCACTTTTTTAACATCGTGTATTGTGATTAAATTTCATCTAATCCGTCCATTTGTAATTGATTAAAAGTCAAGATTTGTTTTCTCTTTTTATGGGAAGATTATTTTTTACTTGAACTCATCCTTATATATATTGATTGATTGGGTCGAGACCGGGATAACCCTAATCCCAACCCGTGCCCACCCATAATCTCCGAATAAGACCAAGTTACCGGTAGGCCCCACGTTTTTCTTTAATATTGGCCGCTAGGGCACTACCTGATAAAGACGAAGTTATCGGTGGGCGGTAACCAAGTATTGGCAATTGCGCAGCCGCCAAGACATGAGGACCCCACTACAGCATTATTATTAAAAAAAAACGTCTATCATATCTTGTGGTGGACTCTCGTACCAAAAACGTCATTGCGCACATAAGCATTTCTACCACATTGTCCACATATAGATGTTATGTGACTCAATAGATTTAATTGATTCATTTTTGCTAAATTTTTGAAGTTTTGGCTAAAGTATTTTTATTGGTTGATTGTGTTGATTTATGAAAAAATTATATTTAAAATATATTATTTTAATAAAATAAAAAATATGTATATGAAACAATAGCTAAAATGATCATCTACAATAACTTCAGCCAATACAATCAGAAAAGTAACTTCAACCTTACTTTTTCTTATTATTACACAATTCAACGCGCGAAATCAAAATTTACATGTTTGGTTAAAAATTTGGCTGATAAGCCTGATAAGCCAAAAAACAGAGTCACCAAACAGGCTCAGAGTCCATTTGATAATACTATAATTGGCTGAATCGACTTATATTGTTGAACTTTATGAAGTTACGACTATAGTTACAAGATTGGTTGATTCTGTTTACTTATAGAAAAATATATTTAAATATATTTCATTAATAAAATAAATAAAAATTATATGAAAAATAGCTAAAATAGTCTTCTATTGTAAATTCAGCCAATACACTAAACAAAGTAACTTCAATGTTACCTTTTCTTATTATTAAACAAATGGATGCGCAAAATCAAAAGTTACGTGTTTGGTAAAAAAAATGACTGACAAGTCTGATAAGCCGAAAACCATGGTCACCAAACGGGCTCTAACGCACTTCAATGAAAGCACTAACGGTTTGTGTTATTGTAAAGAGAAGTGATACTAGGATACCACTAGCGATTTGTGTTATTGTAGAAAGAAGTGATAATACAGTAAGAATGATTTTAAATTATACAAACTTTATCACATTTGGTATCAATCAATCTTAGTAGGACGGATAAAAAAGAAAAGACGGAACAATATTAACGAGATGAATGGAGTCTGAGCTATTCATCCCTTACAAAGTCCCCGAAGGGGAGTATATATAAATGAAATGTGGACCCGCACGGGTAGCTCAGCTGGTCGAGTGGTGGGAAAATTGGAACTATGACCAAGGTTCGAATCCCCGCAGCGACCGGGTGGAGGTCACAGAACCTGAAATAAGGCTGGGCCTCTGGTGCGCACGGGGTAAAGGCCTACTGCCACTCTGCTGACTGAGTCACCGTGACTTACATCCTCCCATGTGCTTTGTCGGGTCGGGGCGTGGGGGGCGCTTGGGGTTGGCGATTCAACCTTTTTTGGAACTATAAATGAAATGTGGACTAGGCCACTAGGTTTGGCCTAGTGGTCCCAATTACATAAAAAGGGACTAATAGACCGTACAAAAACTAATCTATTGCGGGATGCTTTGAAGTTCCGAGGAAATGAAATTGAGTAAAGTGTAAATTATTATTGGGGTGAATTTTCGGAAGATGAGGCACTCACCATACCATCTTGGGTTACAAGTGGGATAACCAGTGGCGTTGAAATTGATAAACCAGCTGTAGGCCTGTATCAATATTTTTGTGGTCTGGTTTTAATTAGAGATGCTTAAATGAGTTTAATTTTGTTCACCTCCCCATTTGGAGGGTGAACATAACCCTCAAATATTATAACATTAAAGTATACGACATTTCTTTCTTGAAGAGCCAGGAGTATTTATTTAGATTAGACATGCTTGTGGGGCCTTTTGGTTTTATACGGAGTACTTTACAAAAGGCATGTGCAACGTATTTCTTTTAAATTTGGCAATATATAAATAAAAAATTATTATCTTCATTTTATCAAAATTAACAGAATAAAATATAATTTAAATGTAATTTTTTTTCATTTCGTAATTTAGCATATTTAGCTTATTGAACCGCTTGAAGCAAATTTTCATCAATTTTAACAGATTTAGCTAATTTCGACATTAAGAAAAGGTCCCGTAATATTATTGTTAGCTGAATTTCAATGAGAGAATTCCCTAAATATGAGTAAAAACGTTTTGAAATTCTAAAATAGGTGTATGATGTTTTTTATTCCCTAAATAGGAGTAATTTTCTGTCAAGTTTGGCATTACAAAGCTTTAAACTTGGCAATTTTTTCCAAACTTGGTAGTTTACTCTTATTCAGGAAATAAAAAACATGATACTCCTATTTTGGAATTTCAAAACGTTTTTACTCCCATTTAGGACAAGTTCTAAAACATGATAATAGCAAACAACATACATTAGGATAGAACGAGCTTCTCATAAAAAAAATCCAGACATACTGTAAATGACACTAATATGTTAATAATATACACTACAAAACAGCCAGGCGTTTTCCCTTCAAAACCATAATTCATAAGCAATAAGCAACACATTTGACATAGGACTAAAACCTTTCTACACATAAACCCAGTCGAGCAAAAAATCAAAAAATCAAATAATCCGACAGACCTACAATATGTCCCGTTCAATCCCAACAAAAACATAAAAAAAAACCATATAAAGGTGAATAGGGATTCAAAAATCAATTATCCCCTTGGGATAAGTTATATATAAAGTTTTATGAGTCTGCATGAGCAACAATACTATGTACTCAACAATCATACCCAAAAAAGCTTCAAAAATAATTCCATCACCGTTTTAAAACCTGAAAAATAAAACAGATGTGCTTATTACAAACTTACAAATTAATAATATGGCTTTGAAACTAAACTGATACGATCCCAGATTACATACCATGGATGGAAGGCACTTTGAACTGGAATCATTGCATTTGTGTGTAAAACATTCTGTTCCATCATTTCTGAACCTTTGCTGCTACAACTTCCATGTGAGACGAGGCCATTTATCTACTCCAAAATAAATAAACTCAAAATGCATTAATTTGTAGACATTTTTTAAACTAAATGTTTCAAATATATCACTTGTTTACCGGCTCCATAGCATGATTGGGGTTCAATGGACCACCTGTAAAGATGAAGAACTTTTGTTAAAAAAAATACTGTTTTAACATTAAAATAAGAATAATAAAAAGAACATTCTAAGTAAAACTTTATGGAAGGTACTCAGACTTACACTTTCTGTGAGCCTTCTTCTGTGACCTTTTTTCCAGTGCACTTTTAATTCTTTTGTTTGATATTGACCTTCGTTTTTTTGGATCTCGCAAAAGACAATTGGTCAGGAGGTTTGGTGTTGATTGGTCATCAACCATGACTGAGTTCAGATTGTTTTCATCTATGGTAGTACCCGGGCATGCATCAATATTTGCCTCGACCTTAAGTAATAGACACTTGCACATGTTAAAAACATCTATGCTTCTCGAGCCTTTGGAAACAATTCTTTGTGAAATATGTGATAACTCGCTGTATCGAGTAGTTAGCGTTGGATCATTATCATTTGGAATTATCTCTCCATTGGGATCACAAATATCTTGATAAGTAGAATCTCTTGTCCATCTTTTCAAGTAATATTGAGGCGGCAAACTGTTTTTCTCTAAGTGACGAAACAATTTCAACCCATGTGAGCATAAAACTCCTTGGAACTCAAACTTCCTACATGAGCAAGCCACCACTTCAGCCAACTGATTGTATCTAACAGTGCGAACCCTTTGCCGACCTTCAATTTCTCTCACTTTATAAGTACTCACATTCCCATCATCATGCTCCAACTCAAGTGACAAATCAATGATTTTCTTAACACTTTGTTGAAACAAGTTAAATATCTTCCTTGTGTACTTTTTCGCTGCTTCACGTTCAACTGCCCAATTAGATATAAAGTTTGGTGTTGTTTGGATTGTTTTATGCTCGGCCTCCCTTTCTTTTTCACGACGGTCATTCATTGCTCTGGAGTACATGCGCACAAATTCTTGTAGCACAATTTTTCCATGTGTGAAGTAGCCCTTGAGGAATTTATTTATACTCTCACTTCTCTGTGAGGTGGTCATACCTGCACAAAAGTGAGAGCGACTATATACTTGTGCCCATTTTTTCCTCACTTCATATGTTCTTCGTAACCATTCATTATCTTGAAGTCCATTTTCTTCAAGTAACTTGTCCCAACTATGCTCAAACTCTTCAACAGTTTCTGGATCATAAATGCATGATTTGAATTGTTGTGAAAATGTTTTGTATCCGTTACAACTCAATTTTTTTGCCGCATTTTGACATAAATGCCACAAACACAACCCATGATGGGATTGAGGTAATAGCTCATCAACTACCGCAGATATAGCAGCGGACTGATCAGTGAATATGCTCTTTGGTTTCTTTCCTCCCATTGCCTCGAAAAAGGTAGTGAACAACCTGTTAAAAATAAAGATAATAACTAAAGGAAGAAACCATTCCAAGTGCGGAAGCTTTGTATTAGGAGAAAAATGATTCACTTGCTTATTCCATAGCATACGTATGCTATATATAATACAATATGGTGAAGAAATAAATTAAAGATGGAGACATGGGTATGGGTCCATGCAAAACATGTAAGCATGTAACCCACGTAAGTAAAGTTTACATCAATCAAGACAGTGCATTATTGGAAAATACAATTATCTAAAATATTTCTTCAACACTCCCCCTCAAGGTGGCGTGTGAAGATTACGAACACCCAACTTGCTACGGAGGAACTGAAAGCGATCGGTACCAAGTGCTTTGGTAAATATGTCAGCCACTTGATGGACTGTGGAGATATAAAGTGGCTGAATTTCATTACTTGCAACTCTTTCTCGTACAAAATAGCAGTCCATCTCAACATGTTTTGTCCGCTCATGAAAGACTGGGTTGAGTGCAATGTGACAGGCTGATTGGTTGTCACAGTAAAGGGGAGTGGGACCTCTGAGAGTAACTGTAAGATCTTGCAATAACCACCGCAACCATATTATTTCACTAACTGTGACGGCCATGGCACGGTATTCTGCTTCAGCGGAAGATCGAGAGACTACAGATTGTTTCTTAGTTCGCCAAGATATAGGTGAACTACCAAGGGTGATAAAATACCCAGTGCTGGAACGTCGAGTGAAAGAACACCCTGCCCAATCTGCATCACAATAACCTTTCAAAGTGAGGTCATCATCAGATGATAAAAATATTCCCTGGCCAGGTGTTTGTTTTAGGTAGCGAAGAACGCGTATGGCTGCATCAAGATGTGTTTGGAGTGGTTTGCTGAGAAATTGGCTAAGCTGACTCACAGAGTAGACAATATCAGGACGAGTCACCGTAAGATATAATAAACGGCCAATAAGTCGTCGATATGAATGTGCGTCTACTGGTTTGCTACCATCGTTCGGGCGAAGTTTCAAATTTTGCTCCATGGGGAAGGAGCTGGGGCGGCCTGCTAGTAATCCACTTTCCTCCAAGATGTCAAGAGTATATTTTCGCTGGCTCAAAACAAAACCCTCAGGAGAACGAGCAACTTCAATGCCCAGAAAATATTTTAGTTTTCCCAAATCCTTGATGCTAAACTTTTTGTCCAGGTAATTTTTCACCGAGGAGATGTGAGTGGTATCATTACCGGCCAACAGGACATCATCAACATAGATAAGAACAAAAGTGTAAATGGTGCCCTGTCGAAAAATAAATAATGAGTGATCGGCTTTTGACTGACGAAAACCTACTCCCGTGAGAGCTTGAGTGAATTTCTTATACCAATTACGAGAAGCTTGACGTAACCCGTATAGAGATTTTTGTAATTTGCAAACACGGGTATCATTATTTTTACTGAATCCCTGGGGGATACGCATATAAACATCTTCTGATAGGTCACCATGTAGAAAAGCATTATTTACATCTAGCTGGTGTACGTCCCAATTGCGTTTAGCTGCAACTGATAACATGCATCGCACAGTGACAAGTTTGGCAACAGGTGCAAATGTTTCGTGAAAATCAACTCCCTCAACTTGAGTAAAACCCTTGGCTACTAGTCTAGCTTTGTAACGCTCCACGTCACCATTGGGTTTATATTTAATTTTGTAAACCCATTTAGAGTCCACAATTTTCTTTCCCGGAGGTAAGTTAACCAGTGTCCAAGTGTTATTTTCTTCCAGGGCCGCAATTTCTTTCTGCATAGCCTCTCTCCATAGAGGATCCTGTACAGCATGTGAGAAATATTTGGGCTCATCACGTGAGGTGATGGCCGCTAAAAAGGCTTTATGAGAAGGAGAAAATTTATCATAACGAATGAAATGGGAAATAGGATATACCGTCGAGTTTGCTGAATGGGCGGTATTCCGTGAATGATCAAGTGAGGGGGGCAAGTCAATCTCGTAATCTTCGAGGTGCTTTGGATATTTCCGGATCCTATCTCCTCTCTTTAGGCCATCACGTGTATTATTTTCAATTACGGCAGTCGGAGAATATGACCCCATTTGGTGGCTAGACTCTTCTGTTTCTTTATTTAGATGGGTGTTTCCGTCCAAGAGGTGACCACCATCCATGTTGAGTTGTCCAGTAAGATGACTTCCATGTGGTAACTCATGTGTGAGCTGTCCTAGGTGGGAGCCACTATCCAAAGAGTTTCCTCCATCCACGTTTAGTTGTCCAGGGACATGACTCCCACTTGATGGCTGCCTAATATTTTCGGACTCATCTCCTGCATCCTTTTGTCCTCTACTAGAAGAGTCTTGACTGTCAGGACTTGCTACAGGGCCACCATTATTTTGGGTGCATGGAAATTGTTCAAAACCATAAAAATTTGATCCAGTAGATGACATGCCAGGCCGAAAAGTCGTAGAACTTGGAAGGAACAAATTTTGATAGACTCGGTCAATTATAGTTCTCAAATCATCCTCGCCATTATTTTCAATATTTCTGAATGGAAAGTTTTCTTCAAAAAATGTCACGTCACGGGAACTATATACCGAGTGTTTTTGTAGATCAAAGACTTTATAGGCTTTTTGTCCATATGGGTATCCAATGAAAATACACGGACTCCCCCTTTCACCAAACTTATCATTTTGCTTATTGTTATGAGCGTACACCAAACACCCAAAGACTCGTAAGTGATCGTAACTAGGAACCTTCCCAAATAATACTTCAAAGGGACTTTTATTAGAGATAACTGGTGATGGAAGCCGATTGATAATGTAGGCGGCAGTTAAAATACATTCCCCCCAAAAATTGATAGGTAAGCCAGACTGGAAACGGAGAGCTCTAGCTATTTCCAAAATGTGTCTGTGCTTACGTTCTACAACTCCATTTTGTTGTGGTGTATATGTGCATGACGTCTCTAATAATATCCCATTTTGTCCATAATAATTCAATAAATGGTTGGTTTGAAATTCCATGCCATTATCAGCCCTTATGCGTTTGACATTTTGTTCAAATTGGGTTTCAACCATTTTGCAGAATTGAATCAAAAGTTGTGGAACCTCAGATTTATTTTTCATCAAATAAACCCACACACCTCTAGTAAAATCATCAACAATAGACAGGAAGTATCGTGCACCGGAAATTGAATCACATCTATAGGCTCCCCAGATATCACAATGTATTAATTCAAAACTACGAGATGTCTTAATTGTACTGGTAGGAAAAGACAGTCTAGTTTGCTTAGCTCGTATGCAGGGATCACAAAGATTGTTGCTTCGGTTAAAGCCTTTGAGAAATTTGATGTGATGTAACTTTCCATCTGATGCATGACCCAAACGCCGATGCCATAAATTTGAAGTAGTAGAGACTGACAATGCCACCCCTTCAACTTTTGGAGCCTCAAGGTAATAAAGACCATCACGGAATTTACCAAGCCCAATCAGATTTCTCGAGGGTAAGTCCTGTAAAATACAATAATCTGAAAAGAAGGTGAGTGTACAATTTAAATCGCTTATTAAACGACTGACTGAAAGTAAATTGCACTGAAAATTTGGAATGTATAAAACTCGTCGAAGACGAAGTCCATTGGACAGAATTAAGCTACCAATAGCTGAAACTGGAACATTTTCACCATTAGGAATACGAACACGTGGTATGGAAGTGGGAGTTATAATGTCAACGAGACCGTTGTCACTACAAACGATATGCTCACTTGCTCCGGAATCGATTATCCAAGGATGACTTTGTGGCAATATATTTGTCATATTTACATGACTTTGTATCCAGAATTTTGGCTCTGATACCATGTTAAAAATAAAGATAATAACTAAAGGAAGAAACCATTCCAAGTGCGGAAGCTTTGTATTAGGAGAAAAATGATTCACTTGCTTATTCCATAGCATACGTATGCTATATATAATACAATATGGTGAAGAAATAAATTAAAGATGGAGACATGGGTATGGGTCCATGCAAAACATGTAAGCATGTAACCCACGTAAGTAAAGTTTACATCAATCAAGACAGTGCATTATTGGAAAATACAATTATCTAAAATATTTCTTCAACACAACCAAGTAATTGCATCATATGTTTCACCATCTAGTAGGCCACAACCAAACAATGATGTTTGTCCATGATGGTTTATGCCTACAATTGGTGCGCACAACATGTCATACTTATTTGTCCGAAAAGTCGTATCAAAACATATAGCATCACCGAACAACCCATAATCCCGTCTAGATTTTGCATCACAAAAATATACTCCACATATTTCACCATCTTCATGTGACCTAAATGAATAGAAGAAATGCTTGTTCTCATTTTTCTTCTGCTTGAAGTATTCTAGAAGACATTCTGCATCACCTTTCTTGAAAAACTCAGATCGCTTTCTTTGAAGGAAGTTATTGCAATCTGATCTTGTAAAATTAAGGTTCTGAGTTCCACCGGCTTCTTCACACATATATGAGAAAATCTGTCCTTGCTTCAAGCCGGATGCATGCATTGTGGTCATCATTTCAGCTTGCGTAAATTCAATTTTCCGTTGAGACCTCAAGTAACCAGAATGTTCAAATGGCGCAAGGTCGTGAGAATGTACTGATTCAAAACCAATCACTTGATACTTCTCATTTGGAAGACGTTTAAATGTAAAGGATGCTTTGCAATCACAACGTGTCTCGTCTCGTTTCTTCTGAGGTGTCTTGATTTTCTTGTAAAATCCCTCACATGAGCACACTAAAACTTGACGTTGAATTAGTGTACTATCAACTCTATTTTTGTTAGTTCGGAAAATACGCACACTAAAACCAATCCTCCTTGCATATGAGTTGTAAAAATTGTAAGCGTTTTCTGCACTCTCAAACTCCATCCCGATTTCAGGTTCTATTTCAATATTTCCTTCTTCCAGAAGCTGATTATTTGAACTCCTGTACTCTTCATTAACAATAGGAGTCTCTTCACCCACACAAAAATTCAAGTCTGGGACACTCATGACAACTGATCAAGACTACAAATCTAAAAATAATTAGTAAAAATTAAACACTCAAAATCTACTGAATAGAAAAAGTCGAATGACAGGAAATTAAAAATCTGTATAATATGAAGTAAAAGTTAAACACTCAAAATCTACTGAATAGAAAAAGCCGTATGATAGAAAATTAAAAATCTGTATAATATGAATAAAGTTCAATTTTTGATATCTCTAGTACGGAGTATGTAATATTTCAAGAACAAAAATAAACGTAATCAAATCACCAACTTTGATAGATAAATGGTTAAAAGATATTTAATTTTTAAGAATAGAAATCGGTGGTACCATACTATCGTATGAGTTTAAAAAAAAATGCAAGTGCAAAATCAAATACGGAGTATTGAAATACTAAAGGAGCTAAAAGCATCTTTAACTACGGAGTATAATAGAAGTAATGAAAAATACCTTATATACGTCTGCAGGTGTCTGCAATCTTCTCTACCAACGGTTTAGGAAATAACGATCGAAGCACACCAAATATGGAGGTCTGAAACTGAAGCGGAGATGGGGCGGTGGAGAAATAGTAATGCGTATGATTTAACAAATACAGAGAAAGCAAATTAAAAGGGTATGTCTACAAATTAAAGTAACCCCACATCCTAAATATCATTTCTAAAAGAAAACTACATACTCCGTATATATATGGAAGAATATGGGCATAGTGGGAGAAGAGTACAATGTGATGTACTTTTAATATTATAATATTTGAGGGTTATGTTCACCCTCCAAATGGGGAGGTGAACAAAATTGCTCTCTGCTTAAATGGCGTGACCATGCTAACATACGGCAAATGAAATGTTTTACAAAACAAGTAAGAATATTAAATTAGTTATATCATCGTAATGACAGTATTATCTTATAATTGTTGTTATTGGTGAATTATGTCATTGTTGAAATTAAATAAAATAATGACAATTGTAAAAACAATGTCACGTATGATAAATTAAACAAATGTCACATATTATAATGTAAAATACTATAAATGTCATACCATTGTCATTGTTACAATGTTAAATATGGTAATTTTAAATACTGTGTCACATCAAACAAAATCAAAATATTCTAAACTTTGCCAAAATATAGAAAAATGTCATAAATTAATGACAATGTTAATGCCAATGCTATAAAAATATGACAATGTTAATGCAAATACATTGTCAATATCAATGCTATATAAAATGACATTGTAATATGACAATGTCAATGCAATGCTATACAAAGTGACATTGTAATATGACAATGTCATTGCAATGTTATACAAAGTGACATTATAATATGACAATGTCAATGCAATGCTACACAAAGTGACATTATAATATGACAATGTCAATGCTATACAAAGTGATATTGTAATATGACAATGTCAATGCAAGTACATTATTGTCAATATTATAAATAATGACATTGTAACAACTATCTTGTCAACATGATATTAACATTATAAGCGTAAATTGCTCAAATGAATTAACGATATGATATAATAATGAATATTAACATAAAAGTTAAAAGAAGCAAATAAGTGGAGTTATAACTTGAAAAAAGAATTAGACAAAAAAACTAAACATAACCGAATGTTTGTACCATAGTGGACAAAGCAGATCGACCAAAAAGAAGCCACCAAAGGTGCAATTTCGAGTTGCACTGAAACGATCCAAAGCAGCTTGGTGGGAAAAAGATTACAGATCAGGGTGCAGCAACAACGAATAAAAATAAGGGAGAGCAAAAGGAGGAGGACTCCCGACGCCCCTGCCTTGTCTCCATCTCGTCGTCGCCGCCGCTGTGTCGGTATGTCGTTGCCGTCTCTATTTCACCCATCGGAAGAATAAATCAGGGGGTTCGATGGTGCGATGGTTGGCCGCCGTTAATTTCGTAGCAAAATCAGCCGCGAGCACCATCACTAGGGCGGGGAAAAATACCGAAATTTCGGTATACCGGACTTACCATATCGAAAAATACCGAATTTACCGAAATGTTTGGTATACCGACGCTTTTGGTACAGTATGATACCGTACCGAATTACTTCGGTATGGTATCGGTATATATTTTGGAAACAAACGGTATACCGGTATACCGTCATACCGTAATTCCAAGTCAATAATTTCCTTAAAATTGTAAAAATAACTAGAAACACAACACTAAGAGCCCGTTTGGTAGCACCAAAATCGGCTGTTTTGGCTGATTCTGCTGAAATTTATGATATTCTGGCTGGAGTGGCTGTTTTGGCTGATTCTGCTGATTTAAGAAAAAAATATTTTAAAAATATATTTTATTAATAAATTAAAGAAAAAATTATATGTAAAAATAGCTAAAATGGTCCTCTACAGTAACTTCAGCCAATACAGCCAGAAAAGTAACTTCAACCTTACTTTTTCGACTTATTACACAATTCAGCGCGCGAAAGTAAAAGTTACGTGTTTGGTGAAAAAGCTGGCTGATAAGCCTGATAAGCCGAAAACAGAGTTCTCCAAACGGGCTCTAATTCAAGGATAAATGACTTTATATCCATGTTTCTTGAATTATTTATACTTTTTGTTGGAGATCGGTGTTATTTTAGTTATATTTATGTTGTTTAAATTATTTTAGCAGAATGTGTTGTTATCTTCATATATCATGTGTTGAAATATCTATACATATTTATAATATTTTTTGTCAAAAGTTGAATAGAACACAAATAGGTTATCCCATTGGTATTTTATAATTAACTTCATTAATGATTTTAGTATATCACTATTAACAGTGATTTTCTTTATTTCATTTGACATATAATAATTTGTTATATTAAATCATGGTAATTTACCGATACCGTACCTTAGGGCCTGTTTGGATAGAGTGTTTGGAAGTGTTAGTAATGGAAGTGTTAGTAAGGGCTCGGAAGGGAAGGGAAGTGTAAGTGTTAGACATAATTTTACTTTGTTTGGGAGAGTCAAATGAATGAAGTGTTAATAATGGAAGTGTTAAAGAAAGAGGAAAGAAAGAGTAAAGAGAAGAGATGAAAAAACAAACTATCAGACCCGTGGGAAAGACATTCGAAGTGAAATGTCGAAGCATTTTATGTTTTTCGGGCAAATGTGAAGGGTAATAATTGTCCAACACCTCAAAACACTCCAAATCGGGGTGTTAAAAAAATGGACAATTGAGGTGTTGGGAAGGTTATTATTAACACTTCCTAACCATTACTAACACTTCTTAACACATCTGGTTTTTTCTGCCAAACAAGTGTTAGCATCAACACTTACTAACACTTCCATTACTAACACTCTTCAACACTCAATCCAAACAGGCCGTTACCGTACCGAAATTTCGGTATACCGAAACAAGGTATACCGAAATTTCGGTATGGTAACAGTATGTATTTTTGCATACCGAAAGTTTACGGTATGGTAAATGTATGCGATAAAATATTCGGTATACCGTACCGAACCACCCCTTGGTCCATCACTGATGGCCTGGTCCTTGCCAGAACAAATTGAAGAGGAGCAGAGAGGAGAAGGTAGCCTGTTGCATTTCTATTGAGAAGAGATTAGACAGGGAGAGGATGCAAAAAGAAGGGGACAGGACGTGTAGCTGCTACGATTAATTCAAGGGCTAAAGTGTCATTAAGTAAAATAGTAGTCCTATTTGGGTTTAAAAAAGTTGACCGTCCTATACGGGTATATAAGTAGGGAAATTTCTACCGTGCATCTAATAATTTTTAGGGTACGGTACATTGACCTGCCTGGATCGATAAGAGTGCTCCACGTGGATATTTTAAGCACTACGCAGAAATATAATTACAAAACATCTAATTTGAGATTTAAATTATTTGCACTGAGGTCCTGATTAGGGATTGCCTCCTCATTTTTCGATGATGAAACATCGAACAGAGGAGATCAGATTAACCAACTTTGATTTTCATGAATCATCTCAATTTTTTCATTTTTCTCAATTGCTCTATTCATATATCCCGTTTAGTTTATATCCGAATTAGGTTTTCCGATTGTGTTTTGGAGCTCTGTATATTAGTCTGTGACTCTTTTGACCATTCCTGTGAATTAGATATTGGTAAATTATTTATTAAAAGAGAGTTTTGAAGCTCCCCAATTGTGGGCTATTTTGTTGATCAACATGATTGATCAAATAAAGACCAATGATAAAGATATAATTTGTAGATGTAAAAAAAAATTAAAGGATGTAAAACGCTGGTTGAAGATATAGAAAAACTCAAACAATTAATGCTGAGTTCATCCGCTAAAATGTCTTCGCCTAAACCTAAGTCGAGTGCCGCTTCATAAGAAAATACTTGTGCTTTCTTCTTCTGGACAGCATAGCCGGTGCACCGTCAAAAAACCGAGATTCAAGATAAAGGACTCAAATGCAATTAAATTAACCGTCATATTATTTATTTGTTGTATTTTTATTGCGGAGTATAAATCTAATTAGATACACACATGTGGCATTTCTATTGAGCCACTTAAGCAAAGGTATGGTACACTTCCGAACAATGGAGGTACCGTAGAAAGACACTATAAGTAGAGTTATGGTCTTATTTAAGACCATTTCTTCCCATAAATCCGGAGGGCTTTGTTCTGGATAACCTTTGTCCTGCCTCTACGTATCTCTGCTCGTTCCTCTTTGGTCGGGCATCTCTTAAGAAAATCTTCCGCCAACAAATCCTTCATAGAAGTATTCTTCAGCCATCTAGAAACAAGGAGGTAGTATTGAGATTAATTTTTGCATCCTGTAATTCTTTTTCTATGTTCATCAATTGATTGATGATATGTGGTTCATTCTATCTTTTCTGTCTCTATTTGTTTATACGTTGGTGTTGAAATTCGTGTGTATAAGTGTGGCTACAGAGAAACATAAAAGATTTTATGTATTGGCTATCGACAGCCATGTTTGTAACAGGGAGCTTCGATAATGGAACAGAAGGCTTGGAGTTTATTGTTTTCCTCTCGCAGTGTAGCTATTACGCTCTTTAAATCCTCCGGTTCTTTTTCTGCTAGTTTACTATCCCTGTTATGAAGATTTAATTTATGTTGTTGGATTTCTGCAACTTTCTGATTCATTTCATCGTTAATTCTAGCAACCTCTAAGGATGTCAACCTTCTAAGGATGTTTTTTTTAAAGAAAAAAAGGAAAGGATGTTATTATTTGGACGGTAATCCGTTCTAGACCAGACCAGATCAAATCAGACCACATTTAGATAGTTATAAAAAATATAAAGAGACCAGACATTACCAGACCAGCAAATTACATCCCGACGAAAAAATGGTAAACATACATATTAAAAACAATGCATATATAATTGTTAAAAGCCTCCTTATTCGTGTAATAAAAACTGAAAAATAAACACATTTTGCAATTTTTCATCTAGTTTTATTTATCAATTTTTAAAATACAAAGGATTTATACTTTGTAAGTAAATGTAGGTAATATTATTTTTATAAGCAATAGTTAATAAAAAAATTAAATACTAATATCCTTAAATGTCTTTTTACACTCAAACAGCTATACTTAAACAACTAATTTATTAAACATTTATTGACAACAAACTAACATAATCAGCCAACTAAAACAACTGACACAATCAGACAATCATCTATTATGAATCAGCTGTCGTA